AATTAAATATATATATATATATATATATCCTTTTTATTGAGCTAGTATTTTTTGTACGTTGGATTGATTTGTGCACCCAATCCAAAATCAATTGACAATTAATGGCTGAAGAAGTTCTAGATCTTTTAAAGACTGACACAACTTTCATACTTCAACGTTAAATGCTTTGTGATACACTTTGGAAAAATTATTGTACAATTAACATCATCACGTGGTATAACAAATCAACTCAAATTACTATGTGACAGTGTTCCTGTCACAAGTTCACAACCAAAAAATAATTCATAAGATCGTGGAAGTAAAAAAGAAAGTGTTGGATGATATGCGTAGTTACTATATTTATTACACCTTTGGGAGCCATGCTCTTGCAAAGAAACAATAAATTAAGTCATGATGCTACTCTTGGGAGCATAAACTAAAAGTTCACTTTTGATTTCCATGACTCATGTTCAAGATGTTGAGATTATAGAACTTCATATTGGGGTTTTTTTTATATAAAAAAAATTATAAATAATTCACAATTGTCATTACTGAGATTTGATTATGTTAATTTTTTTCTTCAAATTTTTTTGTTTACATTTAAAATAAAATATTACATAAATTTTAATTAATCAGACGTGACATATAATTTAACATAAGAAAAAGACGATCGACGGCCTAGTTGGCGGCGACTTTGAATAAACGTGGCTTTGATTAACGAGATGCAGCTTGTGTACTAGTCTAGTATGGTACCAAATTGATGCAAGGAGTTAACTTGAGTCATCAGCACAAGTTAGCAACTCACCAAATTGTAGGGTTGTCGTGTCGTTTTGAGTACTGTGTTTTAGTCTCTCCGCGTGTTCTCTGACTATCTCAAAATGTAGAGGTGCACAAACTTGACGCAGCTTTTGCAGCTGATGCAATTAATCATATTTTGGCTTCTTTTGACACGTGGAGCACTATGTCTTAGTCTCTCTGTTGACTTGGTCTTTCATTCATTGAGATGAAAACAGATCATCCACACCTTTCTATTATCTCAAAATGTTAATGCATAACTGATATTCAGGATTCCTCTCTCAAAACCAAAGCCAAAATAAAGCACAGGCTATAGCAAGCTATAACAGTTTTCCTGTATAATATAGTTGGATTGCTTGCTATCACTAGCTGTATATCTGGCAATGGAAGAACTACATGCAGCAGCTTGGGCATACTATAACCGTGGCAATTACGATACTCGTTGTAAAGCATATGATTTCTTTCGATCCATGGATACAGATGGTGATTACAGAATCAGCTACGCCGAGTTCAACGACTTCGTCCAACAAAGTGGATACAACTGGATCCTCCATAATGACCCGAACTTGTTCGCTAGACTTGACCGCAATCGCGACGGTCGCCTAGATTTTTGGGAAGTACTTACGTTCTACTATATCATCAAAACAAGGTTAATCACCTGCCAAAGTTGCCGAGCACACCTTTGTGGCTTGTATTTTACGTGCGTTGATTGCTTTGATGAAGGTTGTCCAACGTATGACCTGTGTACTGCTTGCTATGGTAATGCCAACTACTTTCACCAGCACAACTACTTCTTGGATAACCACGTTTTGCTACGCTCCCAAAGCGGCACTCCTCATGATCCGCCAAATCTTACCATGGTAATTGGGTTAATTAATTAATTAATTAAGTTATTTAACAGAGATTAATTAATTAATTAATATATTTCCCCGGTTGTTAGATGGTTTGCTTTTGCTTGATTTTCTGATTCGAATTGCTTTATGACTCATGTAGGCAGTCGCTCCACAGAATCCACCTCAGCCTGAAATTCAAAGGGTGAGTTGAGCTTCAGATGCATTAATTCTTCAATTTAATATGCTTTATATGCTTTTGCTTATATATGTTCGACTTTTCAGAATAGATGGTACGAAGCATTTGTGGCATTAGAGATCGCTCTTTCTATTTCAGCTTTGGCTACCAACTGCACAATTATGTGATGTTACAAAAAAGGCCTTTCAGAGTTGTCCTATTTTCTTTCCATGTTAGTACAATAAGGAGTTTACTTGGGATACAAGTAGCCAACTAGCCAGGAAAGAGCTTTTAATTATTCTACTCTATCGTGAACCAACCTGTAGTCTCCTTGGACTCTGTCTTGGTCTTTCTGTCTTTGCCCTTTTCTTCTCCCCCGCTGTAATATTATTATCACTAGTGAGTTAATCATTATTTAAGATTATTTCTATGCGATTATCGCTTGTACTAAAAAAATAAAATAAAGAGACTATCAAATTGTTTTTCACTAAATGATGTCGTAATTTTATGTTTTCTCAAATCTAAAGATATCGACATGTGAAGCAACGCATCATTTGATGAACAGATTTAAAGACTCTAGCATTATTGTATAAAATATTGATCGAGTATATATTAAGCTGTTAATTAGAATGCCAACTCAACAACAATTTGATTCGGTCAGTACTAATATAGTACTTATATAATCCAAAATTACAAAAATGAAAACCAAAGAGCAGAAGCTGCCTATAGGCTATAGCTGTACTGTTCTAACTTCTATATGGAAATGGAAGAACTACATGCAGCAGCCTTAGCCTACTATTCCACTGGTTCTCCGGAACTTCAGCGTCTGGCATGGTCTTTCTTCCAATCCATGGACACAAATAACGACGGCCGAATCAGCTCCTCAGAGTTTTATGAATTTCTGCAGCAAAGCGGCACTACTAAAAAACTGGTCAAAGACCACAAGCATAAGGACACAAATAAAATATTGTGCCTTCTTTTTTAATATTAGACATAAATAAATTATTTTTGTGCTTATTTCTGATAAAACACAAATAATGGTGTTAAATTCATGCACATAGAACACAATTTTAACATTGGGCACAAAAAATCATGGCACAGTCTTTATATATTTATTATTTGATATTTTTTTTCAAGGAAAAGTAAGTGATTATTTAGATAGACACAAAAAATTTGTGTCTTTATCTGATTGATGTGACATTCCAGACATAAAAATCATTTTGTGTACAACAATTTAAAAAAAACATGTGTAGTAACTTCTTTAATATTTATTTTCTCAAAGCAAAGTTTAAATTTAAAACATTAACCCCCCAAAAAAAGCAATTTAAAACCGGGCTCCACATAATTATTTTGTTTTTATATATTTTTTTTCTGTCTTGTGTTCTGCACGTCTCTCTCCCTCTCTCTCACTTATTGTTCCCTCTATAACCAGCCCCCTCTTCCTCTTCCTCTCCTCACGTTTTTTTCTCTCTTTTCTTTATTCGTTCTTCGGTTCCATATCATACATGGCTGGTAAGAATTTGTTTATATTTTTTTTAAAGAAGTTTTTGCCTTTTTATTTATATCATAAATCTGGGATATTTATACAATTTCAACTTTACTACTATTACTGTTAATAGTTTTTTCTTATATTTTTCTTTTTATCCATACCATTGTTGGCTCACTTAGATATGGATTTTTTGTGTTTTGAAGGTGATTATCTGCTACTTTTTTTTTTTGGACGAAAATTATCTGCTACTTAGGTCTGGAGTTTTTTGTTTGTTTGTCTGCTCTTGAAATTGAAGGCTGTTGTTAATATTATGTTAACTCGCAATTGTACGGGGCAATTAGTAGTATAGCAAGACAAGTACAAGGTCGTATCCACGAAGACAGAGAAGTTAAAACTAGTTATGTACTTAGATTACCAAATTCAAGAAAGTAAGAGGTTATGTCTAAAATAGAATTTAAAGCAAAAATGGTTGTGATTGTTGAACAAAAGAAGCAAAATGAAATTTCAAACAAAAGCAAAGTAAGTAAGTGTAACAAAGAGTGGTTTAAAGAGCTGGAAAACAAATTTGGAGACTAGGGCATTCGAATCACCATAACAATTCAATTCTGGGTTATAAGGCGTCAAGTAACAAGTCTAATTCATTTTCAAAGATTGATTCTAGCTAAAGTATGATTAGGCCATGGTGTCTGGTTCTAACCTTGTGTTCCTAATTCCCTAATTTGATCATTTGTTGTCTAACCTAAAATTAAGCATTAGGAACCCATTAAACATAGAAGAACAATT